ATATATATATATATATATATATATAATACATATATAAAATACTCACAATGATAACAATAATTATATCCACGAATATAAAACATAATTAACTATCACTATAGTGAGTATAGAAAGAAAAAGTAAGAATTAACTAAGACGCAAATGAACATAAACAAATCAAAATGAGAATGCACATGCATGTAAGCAAAGCAAATAAACTCCATTGCTGATTAAAAAAATAGAGGTAAATTGGACTGATGCATGTAGAAACTTGATATATTAATGAATAAAGTAATAATCAGAATATGCAAAAATATCATAAATATTTGGGACGGAAGTAATTACCTTATCTTGTCAAAGTTAAGTATACTTACCAGTCTGAGTGATTGGATGGAGACGACTAGCGAATCCGTACAAAGATTCAGCACTAGGCGATATATCAGTCCCTTGCGATGCTATCTGCAAAATATTTTATGCTAATTCTCGTGAAAAAGTAACAATCGGAATATACTTTTGCTTCTTTTTAGAATCAAAATTTTTCCAGATATTTTACTTCCGTCAAACCCTCCCATCTATCCGTATCAACTTATTGAACGGACTGATTCATATCACAGGTAACTCAGAGTCTACAAAAATTACCTTTGGTAATTTTATTTGCTCAAAAGTATTGCAATTAATAAAAAAATCTGAAACTTGCAGAGTAATCCAAAAAAAGTTAAAAAACCAAACAGACATATATTTCATGTGAAACTTTTTGCTCAAAAAAGCAAATTGTGCTAAAACATGAAAAAATAATCAAATGAATAACAGACTTCCGTGAATAATGGCTGGCAGCACATTTGTAATACATTAAATTCGCTTAGACTTGGCGATAAGCTATAGTATGGTTGCAAGAAGTTAGATGGACAAACAAAACTTGAAGTTGATGATGACTGTACTACAGGTGTTGCTGTAACATTTGATGAGTGATGATAACCTGTAGTGGTAGAATTGCATGAAATATGTGGTGGTAATGCTGTTATTGTACTACCACCATATATTGCACCACGACGAATTAATGATTTTCCGGATGATGAATGATATTGATGCTGAATATGTATTCCCGTTCTTGCATCCCTTATCGTTGTTGTTGCTAATAATGACGACAATGTTGATGATGATGAGGCACTTCGTGCCACAATAACAGGTGTATGATGCGAACAATCAAATGTTGGATTGCTAACAGTATCAGGAATTGAAGTATTATCCGAAACTCCTACAGAAGGTAAATTATCATCCAATGTTACTGTATAATTACCACTGGTGGAACAACCCGATCCATTAACAATACCGTATATACTACTTCCATTTTGTTGTTGTTGAGGTGGTGGTGATGGTTGCTGTGATTGATGATGACAATTACTACTATTATTACAGCTAACCATAACTTAATTCATTCATTTTTTTTCCGCTATTTTTCTATCAATTATAAACAGCAATTTCTATTAAATAAATAACTTAACATTATTGCAATCTTAAAATAGTGTATCATTAAGACACTTAATTAATGCAGTAATGAATTCAAAATTCTGTAAAAAGTCAAACTACACATAGACAATAATAACAGTAATAATAATTATAATAATATTGTAAACGTTGTTATATACTGCCGAAGATATAGAAGTACTCTTTTTTCTTCTTGACGAGCAAATGTTTTTGCAACTATATTTGCACAATAACTATATCCAAAATGGTAATTACAATACTGTTTTATGTAAAGTACGCTTGAAAAGACTTTAAGATAATCTTTCAAGTTTACTCTGAGACTGATACAAATCAGATCAGTTTCTTAATGATTGTGCTGAAGATGACAATAATAATAATAATAACAATAATAATAATAACGGTTTTATTCTCTTCTCTTATTAATCCTTCTTTATTGCAAATATAATCATAACATAGCACTTAAATGATAGTAGTAACAATAATAATAATAATAATGATAATAACAATAATAATAATAATAATAATAATGGTAGTAAAAGAAGGTAGTAGTACAGTATAGCGAAATGGTTTACTTTAGCGCTATTACTAGAAAGCAGAAGCAGCAGCAGCAGCAGCACTTTCGCTAACAGCATAGCATCTGTAGAAATGCATCAAAAATGGCAACATTTTGACCTATTGTATTTTATGTTTTTGTTGCAAAGATGAATCAATCAAGCAGCAGCATTACAACGAAACTTTTACCATTAAAAATCGCAATAATTCATTGCACTATCAAACTTTCCAATGAATAATAATAACAAACCAAAGCTTCTCTTTACTGCAAGCTCCAATGCATTATTTATCTATATTTTTTTGCTAATGCATTCTTATACCGTTTATTATTACTCTTTTTTAATTTTATAATATTTGCATATTTTAAATTTGAATTTAAATTTTATTGTTAACTTTATTAAATAATAATTAATCGGAATTATTACACATTACTCACATCATTAACTACTTTTTGTATTTGTTCCATTCATGAATTACCTCTTATATCCGAATAGTATTTTTTATCAAAATATTTGATAATACAATCATTACAAGAATTATATCTATACTAAATGAGACATACAGTAGTAGTAGTAAGTGGTAAAATTTATTAGCAATTCAGAATCTGATTAAAATATTCATCACTGTCATCGTTTGAAAATGTACATGCACTTTATACCTCGTCTAGCACCCAACTACAATAGTCCATAGTACACTGATTCAACTATGAATCTTGCTTAATTTCATATTCAGAATAATAATGAACATGTAATTATATTCATAATAATTAATTAAACTAACAAACACTCAGCAATTATGGTAGGAAATGAAGAAAATAGACAGATCACCAAAATCAACACATTTTCTTACTTTCGACATAAATCTTTGTCAAGTTTATAAAAGATTTCAATTTTTCTTCACATTATAACCAACTCTTCAAAAGATTCTAAACTTCCAAATATATGCTCTCAAAAATCTGAATATTTGCGCTCAATGCACACTTTCATTCTTTAAACAATATTTACAAAAAAAAGAAAAAAAAGACAAAAACTTGACTACATTAAACTTCACATTTCTTATTTATAACTTCAACTTACTACTGAACTGGTTTTTCAAGTGTACAATATTGTAACTGCTCTTAATCTTTTTTTAATATTTACACTTCATAATATTATTATAATATAATATTTAATTTCACTTGTCGCTAACACAAAGCTTCTCCATGTTAAATCTGAAATGTTGAATTCTAATTTTTTTAAAATGAATCCAAAATCACTAGCAGTTGATATACTTTTGGATAAAAATCATAATTAATAATCAATTCTATCTAAAACCCCAGCAACTACATATCTTATCCAAAATTTATTGCCAAGGATTGCATATTTTGTCCAAATTTGCATTCATGCAAAGATGTTTAAAAATTCAAAAACAAATTAAAGAACAACTTTTTCAAACAATAAAAATTATCACATTTATTTTTCATACGTGTACAAGTACACGCAATAAAATACTCTACCGAAAATACTCTGCTAGTAATTTATTTTAAAATGAAATTATTTTCTATCCTACTCTAATGCAGCCTTTTTTGACATCAATTACAGAGTAAATGTGTTGTTACAATCTTTAATGCTATCTCATTCAACAACCTTTTTCAATATTATAATAATCAAAAAACTGACTATTATCATCACGTCAAAATAAATAGGAAAAAAGACAAAAAAAATTTAAACTACAAACAATAAGCAGCTTTTCTTGTGCACGCATACCATTACTGTGAATACAAAAATCTTATTACATTGCAACAATAACTTCTATTATAATTGTCAGCGTTCTGCTATTATCATTATTATCATCATCCTTTTTCTTAAACAAGAAAAAACTTATTTTGTTACCAAACTTTTTCATTTTTGCCATTTTTTGCTTTACGGCATTATTTCAATGTATGTTATTACTGTTGCTAAAAAATATTCACAATAGTAACTCACTGTAGCATCAAATGAATAATCACAAATGTTTTGTGCTATTAAGACGCAGACTTTGATAGAAATGAAATTTTAACTTTAGAAAAACAAAACTTTTTGGCTTATACGTCTAATTTCTTGCAAAAGAAAACACACACACAAAAATACATTACACAATGAAAGAAATCAGAAATTTGGCGAATAAATTTTTAACACTATAAAAAGCTTTGAGTGAACAAAAATATATTAATAGTCTAAAAATTGTCATCAAATGATGTCAAAAAACTTCAAAAACTCAAGTCAGAATATTTTGCATTTAATTGCAAAATAAATGCAATTAATTTAATTTTTAAATAATCCCAAAGGTACAATTTTTGGCTACAATACTTTTTTATAATAAAATTCTTAAAATGAAAAATATTTGCTACTATACATTTTACAATAAAAATCCCCAAAGAAGTAATAATAGATTTTATTTTCAGCTTAATCCTTTTTTACAAACAGTGATCACTTTTATTTTACATTACAGCTAAAATGACTACTTTCGTAATTTATTATCATACAAAAATAATTACCAAAGCTTTACGTAAATTATTACAAGCTCATTTAGAAATATCCACATTATGAAGTTAATCTAGCACGTAAGCCATTATTGACTATAATTTTCTGAGACTTGATTTCATGTATTACCAGCTAACTTTTACATATTTTAGTGATTACTGATTAATATATTTTAGTATTTTTATTTCACTGATCTCAAAAAGAAATTCAACGTCACTTATAGTTTGAATACTTTACAAGATTCTGAATCTTACGTCGCATAATTCTGAAGTATGTGTATATATGATCAAATTACTGCAAATAAATACAATAGTTATTAAAATTTTTGGATAAAATTGAAGTCAAAATTTTGAACATAATTTACATAAAAGTCTACATAACTTGAAGTACTTGAATTACACCTAAGTATACTTCAGTAATAAATGCTAGCGAGAATTAACTACACCTAAATTCAGCTCTCATAAATGTATACAACAAGTAATTACAGCAAAATAAATTTAAAACATTAAACCGAACAATTTTGTATTTTATTCGTAAAAAAAACAAGAAAAATTTCAGCACATTTCTTTCAGATAATCAAAGTAATGCAAAATTTTACAATCTATTAACTATATGCGTTTATTTTTCATATCTATATCCATAAATTGTAGACATACGTAAATCCTACAAAGTTACTTTTTATTAAAATTATTATTATCACATATATACAATATCAGTTGAAATTTTTGTTATACTTAATCAGATAAATGATACCAAAAAGTCGATACCAATCAGAAATGAATTTGCTAAAAGCTACCTCATACATGGATGGTAATCCTGGTGATGATATTGGACGTACAACCATAATTTAATACATAACCACCGAAAAACTGGTGAAACTTTCTTCTTCCTCAGCGGGGATTTTTGTGAAAAAGCACTCGAAAACCTGTTGAAAGTTGAATAGCAAAATGGAAGAAAAAATTTTTAGTCGAGAATAAAAGCAAGTACGTAATGAAAACGGACACATACACGCACACATACATACACACACATACAAACACACACACACAGACACACATACACACATACACACGCACATACAAACAGAACGCAAACACACACATATACAGCGTTTAACGTCATCAGAGAATGTGACATTTGATGAAAAAATTTGAATAAAAATTCACTTTTTTCAACTTTGCAAATCGTTTGCAAAATAAAAATAACACTTGGAAATAAATACATTAAATAAAATGCTCTGTTAAAAGATGTTTTTCTTACTTTTTCTTCTCTCAAATGGTTGAGATTAATGTCTAAGAATATCTCTATTATTCCATCAATTCTAATCATATCCTATTTATTATCTAATTCATAACTCTTTTTATTCTTATGCCAACATTTATTTATTAATATTTATATTTTTGTAAAGTGAATAAAATGCTAAATATCTTGCAATCTTTATCACACAAAATATTAATGAGTAAATAGAATAATATTGTATTGTAAATATTTACAAAAACAAGCAACATTAATCACATACAAATAAATACATAAGCAAATAAATTATTGAATAATTTAGCTAGAAAAATTTAGTATAGTACTACTACTAAAGTACCTCATTTCATACTTCTGCACAGTACTCTGTCATTTATTTCATTATATTATTTGTAAAACTAGTCCTTATACAAAATACAAAATACAAAATACAAAAAAAAGAAATTAAAATTGTTTCTTGCATGCCTTGCACACTACACACATCTCTCAAGTATCTTTTAGAAAAAGCAAATATTTCTAACGATGTAATCTGATAGTGTTATCAGTACAAATGCAAATATAAAGGACAAAGTGTATACATATTCAAATGAATACAAAAAACCGAAGAAAATAGCCATAATGAAGCCACCTCC